AAGGCCTGGCGCAATATGGTTCATGGGGTCACGAAGAGTCAGACACGACTTAACGACTAAATAACAATAAACAGATCAATTCAAGGGTCCATCCACCACTTCCTGAGGCAGAGAGAGAGGTAATTTCTTATGAGTCAGGTGATTAAAGGTTCTTGGAAACACAGATGCCTAGTCTTTGATTGGAATTCAATGATGAACACATGCTGAATCTTGAGTCTTTCCACTCATGCAATCTGTAGGCCATTTCCATTATGAATAGCACTTCCTGGTGGCAAAGGAAGCCATTCTAACAGATGAAGCCCACTATGTTGCTTCAGTATCGGAACTTCAAACTGTTCTCAGTATGTTTTGAAAAGGAATGAAGACTATGCCTTCTTTTGATATCTTTTCAGGCATGATGCAAAATATGGTTTCAAAAATAATGTCTTATGATGAACTAAACTACATACCGTAGATGATAGCAATTTGTTATAGAAACCATGTCACCAGGAAGGGCCAAAACAGGTGGAGGAGGACATATTTGCAAGTATAAGGTCCAGGCACTTCAATCCCTGGGACCTCATCACAGGGTTGGGAGTAGACCTTACCTGGAGATCCTCTGGAAAGCATACACTGGTTTGGAGTGATCAGCCTCACTCCTTCCTTATCATCCTCTTCCTCAAAAGAGGCAAATTTAGTCTGAGAGAAAGAGAGAGAGAAAGGGGGGGGCTTATACTTGAGGCAGATGTAGTTGATTGGGTCAAAATGCACCTTCTGTTTTCATGTTGCATAGTATCCAGAGGGCCCTGGGATTAAGAAGAAAGAGTGCTAACTCACTGGGCATTCAAGACTTTGATCACAAATCTGAGATGGATGGGAATCTCCCAAAGGCTTCTAAAGTTCAGTCCTCAGAATCATCCGCAACTATGGATTCCCTCTTTGATAGTGAATAGAATGAATACATACAATATAGCCTTCCTGTGACTTGCTATGATTATTCAGTTCCAACCATGCAGAAAGTAGCTTTTTTAAGGAGGAAGGAAATTTGGGTGTCTTTAAATATGGCCCAACATATAACCAGAGAGCACAAAAATCCATAATGAATATGAATTTTGGAATATTAAAATTATAATTCCACTTCAAGATTTGGCAGACATTAAGCCATATTATTACATTACAGAGAAGCCAAGAGCCAGGAGTTAATTTTTTACTACCTAAAAGTGTGCTCTAAGTGAGTCAATTTTAGACTCAATAAAAACCACCTATTTAGAGCTCTTCTCACTTATAAATTCTTATTTACACCCCTCACTGTTGTCACAAATTCTTTTTCTCAGTGATTATATGAAATACAGCAGTACTAACACAGACCTGCCCTCTTCTGATGGAGAATGGCCTTTTTGGTGCTATCCACCTTTCTGAGAGTGAAGGCCCCTTTGCCTTAGCATGTGGTTTGAGAAAAAAATGGTTCTTTAATGCATCAGGTTAAAAAGCCAGAGAGAGGGATCCTTCCACAACTTCCATTTCAAGGTCTCCCTCCCCTTTTCCTTGAGTGGAAGTTTAACTTCCAGATAGGGAATTTCTTGGATATCAGAAATGCTTCATAACCTGCGTGCCAATCACATTGGGTTGGTGGTGAACCATCGTTCCCATGGGCATAGTACAGGGGAGACAGTATGGGCAAATCCAAATTGGGAAATGAATTCAGACCCAAATCTGGTAGTGTTTTTCGTAGAGGCTTGGTCATGGGCATTTAGTCTGCCTTTTGATTTCTGTAAAGAATCAGGAACTGATTGCAGGGACTAGACTTGAGCCAGTGAATGAGATTATATGAAGAGCCAAGCCAAGCCTACCAGTTGCTAAAAAAAATGCTACTCTGTGAAATGGGCTGGTGAGTACTTCTCACAAGAAATATGGTATGAGCATATTCAGAGGTGTTTGCTTAGAGGTAAATACATTCTGGCTCTACTTGGAATTAATCTCAAGTCAACTATAACCTTCTTGGGTGGGGGCTAGAAATGACGAGACAGGCATCTCTAACTTCTTACCACAGCATATCTTGGGTGGGGGTCTTGGGTGGGCATGGAAGATGTCTAAGTTTTGGGTTTGGATATGACCTCCCTGGCCTCTCCAGGAGACTCTGAATTGTTTCAGACTACAAACACGACTGTTGGATTGGACCTGGCTTGCATTTTCCCCAAGAGGACACCAGTTGCCATGTGAGAAAGTCCTCCAGGGTGTGTGTGGGTGTGGGCACACACACGCATGGAGAACTTTCTGCACCCTCCTTTAAAGAAACTCTTCTGTTCTTATTCTTCTTTAGGTAGAGTGAGTTCCTGTCAAATGACAGGGCAAACAGATTTGAGTGTATGTTGGCAGGGCAATCTTAGTCTTAAACATTCCCCCCTGTCTTCTGCTATCCCTTAAGGAATCTTAAAAAGAGGAGCTTAATTCAGCGGCAAAGTGCCTGATTTATATGCAGAAGTTCACAGGTTCAATCCATGGCAGCTACTTTCAAAAAGGAAAACTTAGCGAGCACTGGGAAAGAAAGACACTGCCCCTTCTGAAACACCCCCCCCCACCCCCAATCTCTTGCTGCCTCCTGAATACCAGAGGCAGCTGCCTGTCAGCAGAGGGCTTCTGGGTTAGATGTATGAACAACTTCCTTGGCTGTATTCACACAACATGCTAAATGTTAAAGCTGGTTTAACAAACACAACGGCTATGTTTCCATAACATGCAATGCCCAAAGAAAGAAACCATAATGCCTTCACATGACTGCCTGCTTCACACAATTTGCTGCCTGATCCATAATTATCCAGGCCATTTTTGGCTAGCATGCTGTTAGATCAGCCTTGTTGTTTCTTCTTCCTACGGTCAAGGGAGTTTATTTAAAGCTCCCATAAACCACTGTGCTGAGTAACCACCAAGAGATCTGTGTTCCCTCTGGTACTTGGGAGTATCCCTGAGAGGGGCAGGAAATTGGGAGTATTTTCAAAGAGTTGTCAAAAAACTACTGATGATGTGAAATGAGCCCCCAGACAAAGAAGCAACAGATCTAGGGAATCCATGCAGGTTTAGATATGCCCACTGCTGTATTTATTTTAAAGTGAGTGTCTGGCCATGTGTGTGTGAAACAGAGAGTGAGTGGGAATAAGAACCTCTCTTTTATAGCACTCAGTACATTGCCTGAGAAAATATATGTTTCTAAAATTCAGGTAAGCAAAAACAGTTCTCTTTGGGGTAGTTTTTTGGGGCAATGTTAATACTAATTTGCTTTTAATGCGCACATTTTACAAAATGCAAAGCACAGGCCTGCTGGTGGGGGGATATGTGTCAGGTTGACTGCGGGTATGGAGAAGGAATTTCACCCTTTCTTTTCCTCTGCAGTCCCAGCAAAGCTTCTTTGAGCTCCTTCAAAATTCCTTTAAAGTTGGGAGGAAGTATTTCTTGATAGTCAAAGAAATCTCAACAGTGGAGCACTAACAGCCAGAGCGGAACTAAATACATTATTTACTCAAAAATAAGTAGACCCTTAATTTACGACAATCCCCCTTCTCTTGCCAAAGAAAAAGAAAAGAAAAAAGAAAAGAATGCTTCTATTGGCATATTCTCAACAAATCTAAGATGACCCTCCAATTTTGAAAGTAATCCCTCTGGAGAAAAAACTAGTCTTCCTTTCAGGCAAATACAGTGTTTTTGTATGTTTGAGGACATCTTACACAGATGATAGGCAGACAGTGAAGGTATTCAGCCCTTCTGGGAACGCAGGACTCCAGACTGCACAAGCTGCTGCTGAGACTTATCCTGGACCTTGGCTTGGCAGAAAGCCTGGGAAGGTCCCTTCAGCACTTTCTGCAGCTCTTGGGCAGAGAAAGGGGGAAAGGGGCCAGTGAAGTCTAAGAAATGGGGAAGGAAGGAACCCTGTCATCACCCCATTGCCTGGGTTGGGCCGAGCACATGACTTGGGAATGGATCTCTGCTAAGCTAATTCTGTCACTGCAACAGGCGGGTTACCCACTATGGAGCGGAAACACTGTGGCCTGTAACCTCTGTATGTGGTGGCAGGAGCAGCAGTGCTCACTCCCTGGGGCCTTCCCCCGGCCTCTCCCTTTGCAGGAGGCTAACTGCTCCACTTTTACTTCTGCTCCTTCCCTGCCTGGCCTCGGCACGCCTGCAAGCCCTCAGCTTCAGGCCAGCGGCTCACGGAGCCCTCCTCAAGGCTGTGTTTCACACAGCCCTCTAGGCATCCCAGGGTGGCCCTGCGATGAGTTGCTCTTGGTGGGGGTCTCCACATGGGGGTGGGTCTGTGCGCATCACCCAACCGATGCCTCCCAAGAGGTATGATAAATGCCCCCTCCCCACAGGCCTGTTTTCTTTTCCGTTCTTTCTTTTTGCCTGAGGAGCTGCTCTCCCTCTGGGTCACTCATCTCTTGTGATGCTCTCATCCATGGTGGGAAGGACGTCCAAGCTCAACCCTCCACTGCTGTGCACACTGGAGAAGGACACCATGGTGTGCAGAAGCATAAGAACCAGGACGCAGAGCCGGATTTTGCTGTGGCTGAGGCGAGACCCTGCAGAGACTGGCAGCAAAGATGGGTGTGGGTACTGATTGTGATGGTAATACAGGTGATAGTGCTGCTGCTGCTGCTGCTGCTGCTGCTGGTGATGGGGGGCATCATGGCGTGGGCTATGGAATGACTCTGATTCTGTGGATTTGGTGGAGGTGTTGTAGCTGCGGTCAGGTTGATGATCACAGGAGTCCCACTGCACATCACAGCACTTTGCTTCCTCGTCAGGCAGCTGGTTCTCCAACAACCCTGAAAACACAATAGCACAATGATTGTCTACAGAATACGGGAGGAGGCAGCTACCCTTAAATGGCTGGTTATTTTACCTTCTGCCTTCTTCAGCCCCAAAGTCTGTGGCAGCCAAAATGGCAGTTAGAGAACCGTGAGGATGGAATATTGTACAAATATTTCCTAAGTGGCTCCTAAACATCTCTAGAATATAAAATCCACTGCACGGCCTGCATGGGCTGTTGGCTTGAAGAGCACCATTTACCCTGCTCTTAAAGAAACTGCCTCCGTGATATTAAAACAGGTGATGCGACATTTGGATTCAGAGGGATATTATCTAGAAACACTGACGGAGATGAAGTATAGCTGACTGGTGTGTGGGGGACCGTGCTCAAAAGAGGGAAAGTGAGTGGGGCTAGAGGAAAAAACAGGATAATAAGGTAACTAAATGGGCTGATAAAAAGCATGTGGAAGCCTGCCATGTGCTTCCAGGAAGGAGGTCCATAAACCCTTTAGAAAACAGGACCGCTTGCTTTCATCTATATTGCCTAGTGTTGTGGGTTTTTTAATTAGAGCAATTGTTTCCAAATCTTCTTCATTATACTCTCTCCCTCCCACTCAAACCCATTTTGTCAACAACTGGGGCATCTGAAATGAAATGAAAAGCAAGATGCTCCTCCAAAATATTTTGAAATTTAACTTTATTTAATATTCATCCATATGCATACCATCCCATATTTTCCCCGTGTTTCTTTTTTGGTTAGGTAATCCATTCACATTCTTTGAAAATGTTTCCAAGTCATTTGCCACCAAAGCATGGTAGTGGAAGAGGTCCAGGACCTTCAAAACAGTATTAATAACTTAGGAACTCAAGATAGCTTCCACAGAGATCTCCCTTCATTTTATCCTTACAGCAGCAACCCTGTGAGGTAAGGTGGGCTAACGGAGAATCCAAAAACCCGAACTTGGATCGCCCTAGTCCTAGTCCAATACTTAACTTCTGCACCTCCCTCTCTTTCTGTAGGAGATTGTTTGTGGCCCTATTCCTGATGTATGTTGTGATATTATGTAACTGAAGCATCTGACATACACACATGAGACTTTAGGAACCACAGATATGCAACCAATTGCAAAATACCTATATGTAGTCACATCCTGTATGTTCATTACTGCAACAGAAATGCACTTGATTCATAACATTGCAAACAAACAAACAAAAAATTCTGGCTGATGCATGTTTTTGACACCCTCACATGACTTGGCCTCAACTCGGGGTCTGTCCTGATGTCTCTCAAGGAATGTAAACACCACAGCTTGGAATATTCCATCCTCCCTAATCTACAGCCGTGACATCAGCTTCTGCAAGGCTCTCTGATTACATTACAGTTGAAAATGTCTTGCTATACAATATTAATATTTCTCTTTTAATATACCTAACATTGCAGGAGGTCCACAGGCCCCATATCTCTATGTGCGGGTGTGGGTCCATCCCCCACTTCTAATCCGCAGTGACTTGACTTGACTTTCCTCTTCTGAACACAATCACATTTCTAAACCGAAACTTGCATCATCATTTCTCTTCAGCACCACCTCTGTTTTGTCTCTTCTTTGATCTCATCCAACATAGTTTTTCTTCTGCCTTCAATGCAGAGGAATAAAGAATTGCCCTCTCTTGCTTGACTCCCTTCATAATCTAGTTTTGCTCAGTCTCTTGAGCAATTTTCTTTCCTTTTGATTTCTTCATTCAAAAGTTTTTCTCCATAAAAATTCTGTGGCAGTCTATTCCCACACCTAATACCTCCCTGTCTACCATCCTTCCCCTTCATCCAATCCCATATCTCAAAGACTTCCACAATATTGTAGAAAGTACTTGCTCACTAACAAAACTTTTTAATTCCTAATTTGATCATCTCCATATGTTTTCCAGGTCTCCATTTCTATGTAAAGATCTTTCTCACCTTTACATAGAAATCTATCACACCCTTTTTAGCAACCATTTCCAGCCCTGAACACCATCATGCAATATTGCATTTTAATCCAAGCACCTCATTGTTACTATTATTACTATGATGCTGCTACCCTTTCCTTCCTGAAAAATTTGCATTTGTTTATGAAAGTACCTGAACACCCCTAGCACCCATCCCAAGCATGGGAGAAAGAAGCACTGTCAGTACACTACTGGTAGTCCTCGCTTAATGACCATTCATTCAACAACCATTTGAAGTTATGACGGTGCTGAATGAACAGTAGTTACGGCTGGTCCTCAAAGTTATGGCTACTGAAGCACCCCCCAGTCATATGATCAAAATTTGAGCACTTGACAGCCCACCCACATTTATGACCGCAGCATGCACTTCAACTCCCCCCATCTCCCCCCATCTCTGCTGTTTTAGTCGCCCCTGCTGCCTACCCCTGCCACCCCCACCACTGTCTTCTTCCTCCCACTGCTGATGAGTTGGACCTGGGTGAGGCAGCTGCTGGCCCTTTGCAAGGCCCACAAGTGCACCTCATCAGCAGCAGGAGGAAGAAGATGGCAAAAGTCAGCTGGGGGCAGCAGGGGTAGGCCATGGTGGCGGAGTGCAGGGCGGCCAAAAGGGCAGAGATGAGGGGGGAGATAGGCGGGTGGGGGAGTTGAAGTGGAGGTGAGCGCAGCAGGGCAGGAAAAGCATGAGGTCCTCGCCTTATGATCACAAGTGGGACTATCGGAACTGCCATTGCTAAGCAGTGTGGTCGTGTGATGTTTCACCTAACAATCGTTTCACTTAGCGATGGAAATTCCGGTCCCAACTAGGCTGTTAAGTGAGGCCTACCTGTATCTGGATAGAGTTATATCAACTCACTGCTTCTGTTGATTGGTCTTGTCCCTGCCAATTACCCCTGAAGCATGTCCTAGTGTGCGCAGCTCCAACCTATCTCCTGTTTCTTTGCAGGATTAGTATTAGCTTAATAAATAAGCAGATAAATGCCAGGTGTGAAATGCAAGCTGTGCTGTCTGTATGCTCAAGGCTATCCACAAGCATGTGAATGCAGGACATTTGCCCTGATCCAGCAAGGAGATGCTTGTGTGCTTGTTCCTGGACCCCCTCCAAGTCTTACCCGTACAGAGGAAGCCAGGCAACCCTCCATAGATCAATTCATCGTTGTCAGGCAACACAAAGGGGCACCTAGTCTCCACCTCCAGGCAGTATTGCTTGCATGGAATCCGGTGTTGGCACTGTAGTTGTGTCACATCAAAATACTCAGAGCACAGCCAAGCCTTGTAGACAGCCTACATGAAAGGAACAAGAGTCCAGAGGCAATAATATATTAGCAAATGCCCCCCCAAAAATCTGAATGGTGGTTGTTGGGATATAGTCATGGACAACCTCAATTATGCATGGTCTTGCATAGATTTACTGAACTGTTAATAACGTAAAATACATTGGTGGAAAATAATGTACCTTCAACTACAGTTCTCAATTTCTAAAAAGAGAAACCTTGAAACTCCTAAATCCTGTCTTGGAAGCCATTCTTCCAAAGCCCAGGTATGTGAGGCTGAGTTATTTGTGGGGACACGGAGCCTACTTTAAGAGGAAATTATTGGAACAAAGATTATCAGCACTGCTTAAGCTTTCCAGATGAATACATGAGATTGCTTACTTAGTGGTCATTCCTCCGAGCAGCTACAGAAGAGGAGAAGTGAGAAGCAAGGCTGTTCTGGCACTTCTTCTAAGAGATCAGCTGCTTTCACTCTTCTTTAACTGCACTTGGCAGCAGCCAGTCCAACAGGCTGCTCAGCAAAGGAAGAAAGAGAACCAAGGCAATTCCATGGCTCCTACACCAAGGTCAGCTACTTGGCATCCCCTGAAAGCAGCCATCAGCCATGCCTCAAAGCTATCTGACTTGTAAAAACTACACCTTTGAGAGGTTGGGGGATGAGACAGCTTGCTTTTTAGTTTCATGAAACCATAAAACCCTAGAGTTGGAGGAGACTGAGCCCAACCCCAACTCAGTGCAGCAACTCCCACAGATGGCTGTTCAGCCACTGCTTGAAAGTATCCCGAAAAGGGAGCCCACCGCCTCTCTGGCTGACTGGTTCTACTGTTGAACTGCTTGTAGCATTACTACGCTCAGTCAAAATCTGCCTTTTTGTAACTTAAATCCTCAGTCTTCTCTTCAAAAGACTTCTTCGATCCTCCTTTTTCATTGTGGGTTTGTCCCTGAGGCTGGGGGCAAGTGAGGTGGGGGTGGGGACTCAGTACTGACATTTTCAAATTATTCTAAGGAGCTTTTGATTAAAAAAGTAGAAATCTTTTAAATGAATCAACAAATATCCTTCACTATAATGAAGGATACAGACCTGCACCATGGTTGTCAGGGAAAACACAGGCATGACATAAGTAGCACAATCGGGTGGACTTGTAAAAAGTGAAAACTCAACACAAGAGTTATATAGAAGAGTTTCACAGCCATGGGACACTGACATACAACACTAAACAAAAACTTCTCCTGACTTTGTTATTGTCTTCTAGTTTCATCAGAATCTGCTGTAAAAGAAATGCACTAGTAGTTGCCCACTTACATGGGAAGATAACCAGGTCACTGATGCTTGAAAAGAGCCAAACATGACTTTCTGTTCAGCAAACCTACATCTCTCCCTAATTTCAGGTGAAAGATGTATTTGGTATATCCTGCCTTTTGCTGAGAAGCTCAAGATGGTGTACATAGCGCTCCCTCGTCCCCTTTCTTCACACAACACACCATACCATCCCCACCCCTGCCATGAGTTATGCTGGGCTGAGAGAGATGGACTGGCCCAAAGCCCCCCAAGGAGCTTCTGTGGCTGAGGGGGGATTAGAACTGGGTCTCTTTGCTACTAGTCCAGTACCTTCACCACAGGACCACCCTGGCTGTTGCTACTGCTCTTACTGGACAACTCTGCGATGCATCTTGTCTCTCATCCCTAGCCCATAGCCAAGGCCAGCTAATTTGCAGTTTTTCTCATCTCTCTTTCTGCCTTCAGCTGCTGCAGGCAAACCTGCTTCTCTCTGGTCACTGATGACTTCCCTCCATGGCCATTCTTATCCTGGCTGTTGGACTGACATGATCCAAGGATGCTGGAGAGAGTGGTACACCAGGACCTCTCTAAAGTGTCCTACCTGCCTGACTTATGTGGAAACAGTTGTGCTGGCAGGCAGGCTACTCCTTAATGTGCTGTAGTTCAGGCATTTTTTTTTTCTATGTGGGTCAGCTAGGCAGGTTTTACCAAGTTCACAGAGCAAGCAGTACATGTATTTAAATGTCCTAACCAATGGTCAAATCCACTGCTCTGGCCATTGGCCAAAACTTGCCTGTTTCCCCTAACCCTAATCCTAATCCATGTTAAAGACAGCAATTGGTGGATATTTTTTCTGCTGTCAAGAAATCCATCATTTATTTTCCTTATCCTGTCCTGCATTACAGCTGTCTAGAAAGTACCACTCACTGGTCTCATGACTGAGGCAGAGTAGAGACTGGCTCTCAAGAGATAGCAAATTATACTAGCATACTTAATGGGCTGACTCAAGGACTCAAGGAAAACACATTAAATCTGAATGTGTCCATCCTTTGGCAATATCTTTCTTAATGGCAAATCTGCTGAAAAATAACTTCAGAATTCTAGCAAAATGGCCATTCCTACCAGAGAATGATTGCTTTACTTCAGCCATTAGAGGGATCCTCAAAGCTGCCAGTTCTGTTTAGCATGTTCCTGGTGCACCACTCCCCAAACTCCAGGCCTGGAGATCCACTGGGGTTTGAAAACAGAGTAATGACAGGCCTGTCTTCACCTATATGAGCAGTCCAGTCCAATGCTCTAGAGGACTAATCCGTATGCCAGAAATGCAGCTGATGGAAGTGGACTTTTTCTATTTTAGCATCTTAGCTGTAAAATGCCCTACCTGGTAGATTCAGTGGATCCGTCCTTCATCGCACCCAGATGTTGAGGGAAGCATTCTAGTTCCAGAATATGGATGAGCTGCCCTTGGCCTTTATCAGCATGTTATTATCTTCTATAATATCTCTGTTTCTACTATTTTAATACTTGATGTTTGTTTTGATCGAGATCTCTTCCCTTTCAGTACTAACAAAAGACAGCCCATCTTTTGAAAGGAAGAGGATCAAGTAGTCACACAATCATACTGCTGGGGAGGAGTGTGTTCTAGAAAAGAGGCTGCAAGAGTCATAGTATCTTTCAACAGCTTCGAAGCAAACAATATATTCTGAGATTCTTTTTGGAATCAGCAGCAGCTGCTAAAATATTTGTCTGAAAAAGAATTACAAATATACACTTGTGTACATGGATTCATCTATTCCTAAGTTTAAATGGACAATTTGGAACCCATTTTCATCTTCCCAGGGTGGAATGAATGACTCTGACCACTCTCTGTTCCAATTTTGGGACCTCTGCTATAAGGTAAACTTCAAAAACTAGCATCATAAAAGCCACAGCCAAAATAAAAATAATTTCATTCATTTCATTCATTCATTCATTCAGCACAGTGGTATACCTCCAAATCTTGTTTCTCACTGATGCTGAGCTGTATTTTTAGTATTTTTATTATGGCCACCCAGAGTCCATTGTAGTTGGGCAGTATAATAAATTCAGATAAACAAACAAACACTGAATCAACTCAACTATCCTTTGAGCAATATGGATCAGGCCATTCCTGGAGTTCCATACAGTATAATACATGCATTAGATATCCATTGTATTATTCTTTTTCAGGATAAACAATGATAGGCAAAGTGGAAATAGAGCAATCGATAAGCAAAACAAACATATGAGATGAGAAAAATAAAGGGAAATCTAAGACAATCAAGCCTCCTTCCCATTAGCATAACTCCACACACTTCTGTGGCATATTGCAATATAATTCTTTCCTTACATCAACTTTTCATTCATTCTGTAGTGTATCTTTTAACACTTTTTTATGCAGGACTTTTCTCTTTTACTTTTCTTTCCTCTCCTTCCATGTCCATTTTATTCCACTCCTGACACTGGTCTGTCCCACAGTGAGAACCATTCATCAACCTTGTATCCTTCGCTAATTCACTGTCTTCACTGTCTTTATAAACAATCAAATCAATACTTTCTTTATTGTATTATGGATGAATAGACCATCCCCATTGCCATTTATTCTTAAAGTCATTATTTTAGCATTCTTGTCTCCTTCCTACTCATCCATTCATATCACGTTACAGAATAACTTTTTTTGTTGGATTGCATTTGTTCAGGTTTTTGTCCCACTTTCTCCCAAATTCATATCTGACTCTTCAATTATTATTCACCGGATTGTAACATGGATTCCTATTTTGATACACATCCACAACATTTCAAATAACAGCATATTTTGACATACATTTTAGTCTTTCATTCTTAATTACACCTTCACTTCCATGCACGTAATGTCTGAATTGCATCAGACCATCCCAAGCATGTTTACATGGAATGGTTTCCACAACTTAGGATCACTAATCTAAAAAATACCTTGCAAGCCCAAATACTGGTGGCCTACATTCCACCAACCAGGGGATAGATGCAGTGTAATGATGCATCTATAATCAATTACCAATAAAGAAGGAAACTTCTGACAAAAATCTCTCTCTGGTAACTTGTGACTACCCGGAAACCTCATTTTAACAGACCTCATTTAGCTGATATTAGGTGTAATGAACCAAATTTACATCCGGACCCCCTTCAAATAACTGAAAGGCCATAGCATCAAAATTAATCTGGATGAGAGGCGGGGCAATGGCAGCTGCTGGTGGAAGTTTTTTCTGCCCCACTCTGTGATCAAGGTTGTTTTGTTTTAAACTCCTTGCATTTTAGCCAAAAGTCAAGCTAAGAAAGCATGACTGGAGAGTCCTGGGATGCCTAGGCTGGTTTTCAGCATCCAGGACAGTGCAGAAGCGGCTCTGTATGCCGACTGTTCCAAACTGACTGCACTCCCTGTACTCCCTCCACCCCCCGACACACGTTATACACAATCCCTGGCTGAAGATTTGAAAATACCTCTGAAATACTGTTTTTCTAGACTAGATATGCTGCTTCATTATACAAGATTTGCAAATTATCGTTCTATATTGGGTTACAAAACTTAGAGTATACAAGTATCTGAACTGTTGCTGAACACCACAAAATAAATAAATAAATACATAAAAGGAAAGAGAAGGAAAGAGAGAACTTAAAGCAACAGAACTGATCCCATGGGGAGATGAGCTTTTATTAGTCTGGAAAAAGTATTAGAT